AATGCTTGGGGGAATTTGGACATGCTGAGCTCAGCATTTTAATCAATCAACTAACAGCCAAAACATATTCGGTTTATGATGATTACCCAGAGAAAAGTGGTGCAATATCACATTAAAGAGGCTAAAAACAAATATGATTTGGCATTTTTGCCTCATAAGGGACAATTGTTAAAATAGTTTGTTTTTTTATTTCATCATTTGGCTGATGATGTCCTGAATGAATGAACAGTTTTCAGTTCTAGCAGTTTTTCACTGGAGCAGCAGATCAGTGGAGGAGTTATGTAAACACTGAATCCTGCGTTAGATATTTTTTCCTCGCAGACATTGCTCCCATTCAGAGACATCCTCCTCATTCATTCTCTGAAGCTGTGAAGATCTCATTCAGCGCATTCACAGAACCTACACACCATTCAGGATTCATCCTTTGTGTCTCAGACCATAAAGTGTGTGTGTGTGTGTGTGTGTGTGTGTGTGTGTGTGTGTGTGTGTGTGTGTGTGTGTGTGTGTGTGTGTGTGTGTGTGTGTGTGTGTGTGTGTGTATCTCAGGTGTCATTCGTTTTATTTTTGGATAATTCAGTCATAATCCCCGTTGGAAATGTCTCTGTTCCCTCTCTCTCTTTCTTCTTCTTCCCTCTGTCTGCATGTACTCGGTTCACCCCCTTCACCATCACCCTCCCCCCATGGGTGTTGCTATGGAAACAGGCCTCCTCTGTCAGGTGGCCCCATGCTGAACGCTCCCCTGCTCTCTGATTTGCTCTGACATCGTCTGGCTGACTCTAAGCCACGTGATCCTAGATCAGCTCGTCCGGATTCTGAATATGGAGCATGTCTCCNAACTTGGATTCTCATCATGAGTTAATTTGTTAAACAAAAAAACATACATTTAGTTAAAGGTGGGGTAGGTAATTTTGGAGAAACCAGCTCGAGTGCGCTAGAATTTGAAAGTAAGCAGCCGAAAAAAATCTACCTCTTCCTTCAGACTTCCTTACAGAGCCCCTCCTCCAACACACACAAACGCACACATGACCAATGAGGGCACGAGATAAGTTTGTGCACAGATGGAAGGCTGACAGGCAGGTAGGCCATCCAGTTATTTTAGCCGGGCCGGCTAAAATGATTGGTCGCGCTTTTTACAGTACTACGGCTTCCACAGATGACATTTTTTTAATGTATTTATTGTCAAAGCATTTAATATATTCATTGCTATCGGGATGTTAAGAGCATTCCATGGAATATAACAAAAAGTGTTTCTGAAATAAATTACATACCCCACCTTTAAGTGTTGGTCATATTTTTGTAAGCAAAGACAACAGACAATATAGAGGTCGAAAAATGTTATCAAAGTCACATATTTCTCATGGCAGGCTAACAGTAGGGCCCTAATAGCTCCTGGTTCACTGGTCTGTGTAGGATTTAGCTGCATGTTCGTGTTTTCATTAGTGAAATAAATGTGTGGTGTTTTCATGTTTGACAATATGATTCCCCTTTGATCATATTTCATTGTCTCACAATGTATCCTAGACAACCCGTCAAATTATTTTAACATAGGTGGCTGATATTGGTCCATGCTCATCCTCACTGTCATGATGTAGCTGTTGAATATAAAGGTTGGTTTGTGGTTGTGAGGAAGTAGGCATCCCTCATTTGTCATGTAAACTTCCTCCTATCAGGAATGTTGGAAAAATATCACTCGTCACCGGCTTGATCTTCAATATCAGGATAAATATATTTATTATCCTTGCAAGAATGGAAGTAGTCATCACACACAGAGCATAATACAAATAGTTCCCCGAATAGTGTCCTTGGCATGCTTAGTGTTACAGTCACAAGATGCAGAATACCGGTTCAAAGCAGTATTCAATGTTTAGTTCAGATTAGCTAAGGCCTGCATAAACTGGCAGATATTTCCCTGTGTTCAGGTGACAGAATAAAAAAAAAAGTGCATTCATGTGTGCGTACTGTTCGTTCACACATTTCTACAAGGGTGCAGCCGTGGTTTAGAATGATCTCCCTTTTTAAACACAATGGCATCTGCAGAGGCAAGCCACATTTTCTGTATCGCTCAAAGTGTATTTTTCTGATCAGGAGACAGTGAGGGGCAGTTTCTTATAAAAGCCTGCTGACACATTGATCTTCAAAGAGCCTCAGGAGGCCAATCTCCACCCCAACCACTTTAGATGCTTTCACAGGAAACCAGCTCAAAAGCATCTCTTTTTTTCTCACTTGTCTTTCAGCCTGTCTATATTTGAACTCCTGATCAATGACGCCCACCGAGGAGGCCGAGCTGTTTGTGTGCAGTGTTAGGTTTAGAGTTCCTGCTCTGCCATCGTACTGTACTGTGTCTGTGTGTCTTCATGAAGGGACACAAGTCTCTGAAAACAGTGACCTTTGGGGGTGAGATGGGAGGAATTAAGAAGCAAGGTGGATCGGAGGGATTCAGACGTGATGAAGAAACACAAAAGCAGAGGTGATGTGGGAGAGACAGTGACGTGTCTGAAAATGGCCAGGAGGTTGAAGCGGCCCCTGCCCCCCGAGGCTCCCGTTGATTCATCCTTCCGGCAGGAAGTGTGTGAGGATCAATAAGAAGCGAGGGTCTCTGGAGAGACACACAGAGAGAGTCCTCTCCCAGCCCAGGTCTCTTTTTGTTTCATTCAGCAGCTCCACTCTGGGTTTGAATTGATCGTAATGAGCTCAAAGGTTTCTGTCGTCACCATCACAGTTAATAAAACAACTTTGGTGGCTCATCTTCACTTGATCTCACTGAATAGATTTTATTATTTTAGATGTGAATGAGATTCATTTGAACTTTATTGTACAAATACTGGGACAACAACATGCCGTTAGCATCTATCAGCTGTGCGAAAGAAGCAGTCTAATGTATAAGTATAATATTAGTATATATAACAGATATGAAAACGCTAATGTAGTATGAACACTAATGATGTGTATAAACGCTATAACCAGAATTATATATATTTAATACACTATAGAGTTAGTAAAAAAAAAAGACACTCCAATAAAGTCAGTTAGTAAACCACTATATTAGTTTTTAACAATGTTATAAGGGATTAACAGGAATACAAGTTATTAACAGGAAGTGGCTTTATTTTCCGTGGACCTTTTCACAGAAGATCATCTGTAAAGAGACTGTTGTTTCGAGTTGGGAATCCCTGAGCTGTTTCCTATTGGGACACTTTGAGATATAAAGCTGGCAACATTTAAATCAAATGCTTTACTACTGCTAATCATTACGAGGATCGGTTAGAGCTGCTTAACAGCTGAGAAAATAAATTGGCCAAACAAGATCAGAGTCAGACAGCTCTGACTGAGAAGCAGATGCAGATTATAATCGGAGTTTTTAGAGCTGCTTCTCCTCTCCCACTGCCACCTGTCACTGGTCTGACCACGTTATTCTTTAGCCTTTAACCCCGACAGGAAGCCACAGATTCAATCCTCTCAAAGTGGATTAGTAGTGAAGGTGTTCATGGCTAAGTGATGTTTACCACTCAGTTAGCCACGAGGAAAGGTCTCATTCAGCCAATCAACAACATGTACATAAGTGTAATTCATCGAAGAGTCAGTTTAAAAATATTAAGTGAGAAAACATAAGAAGGCTTTATCCATACAGTCAATAGGCTACTGTTAGTGTATATTGGTATATGTGTGTGTGTGTATATATGTGTAATAATATATACACATATACACGGTGCCTTTTCAAAACACTCACGACGACTTTTTTCTCAGTTAAGACAACAATAAAAAGGGCGTGGTCCTTTAAGGTCAGTCATCGCTGGCTGTTAATAGATCACACACACACACACACACACACACACACAGTCACACACGCACGCACGCGCGCACGCACACTCACTCACCCCCAGTGAAGGAAGCTGCGGTCAAGAGACAGACAGAAAATGACAGTTCTTGATTGGGCCTTCAAAATAAAAGCCTACAGAGTTTTAACAAATATGACTCATCTATTAGGAAACACACTGTGACACCATATTACCTGAGAATGGTTCAACTTTTTTTTTTCTCCTGGTGGCTGTCTGAATGGCTTTCTAGTAGCGTTTCTTTGAAATGTCAGCTTTTCAGGAATCAAAACTCAATGCATTATTTACCTGGACCACAATGTATTCCCAGTTCACTATATCCATGTGAGCATGAGCTTTTTCATTATCTGTGTATTGTAGTCTCTCAAATGATAGTAAACAGGAAATGATCCTATACAAACAGTTTTCACATGCAGCATACTCTTACACAGCACAGATTCATCATGCAAGTAGAGTGCTGGAATATCAACAACTAGTTCTGTTTCAAAACCCATAAATATTCCCATATTTCAAATGTGTTCAGTTATTCAAATGATGATATTAAACAAAACTGAATGACAATTCAGTTGAATGGAAACCAGGTATCGTTTATGTGCCTGGGTGTAGTAGATGCCTTAAACACATCTCAACAAGAGTAAACGAGAACAATTGTGGTAATAAAAGTAATTACAAGAAGGAAAACACATTTTGTGTTAACCATCTCTCTCTACTGGCATGATTGTGTATATATTGAAAGTAATTATGGGAAAAAAGATGATTTGATTCAATGCACAGCCAGTTAGCTAAACATGCAATAATGTAAAATGTCATAAATGAGTACTTTTTAATATCCAAAACCGTACAGCTCCTCATTTCGAAATGTTCCAAATCATATATGGAACATATTTGTATTGTATGTTTATACCTTTGTTATTTAAGTGCGTCAATCCAGTGAATTACTATGTCAGTTGCCTGCGAGAAAATGACCTAACATTATTTACATGTATTGTAATGGCACTCTCGCCCCTGGACTAAAACAAATCAGCATCTCTTTGTCCCCCAAATGCAAAAAACATCATTGGGCTTCGTATTTGACCAACAACTTGGAGCTTTATTGTGAAAGTATTTACCGGAAGTACCATTTCGTTTGATTGCTTGTGACTTGTGAGTGTGTGTGGACAGCAGAGCCAAAGGTACAGCCGCACAGTGCGTCGAGCTGAGACATGGAGCTGACCGGCTGTGAGCGCAAATAAACCGAGGAGGACACCAGACGAAGAGTGGGAATACAAACCATGATTGATTCTGACTAGGACAAAAACAAATCTTCACATCTAAAGCCAGGACCCCCTCAGAGACAGCAGCGTCATGACACCAGTCCTGCATTGAGGTGAGAGCCGCTGCTGCGTTTTATGTCTTATTTATCGCGTCAGGACCATCCTGACATTAGCGATGAGACATCTTGCAGAGCCTTTTCATGCGCAGGTGTTGTCCGGAGAAAGAGCCGAGCATCGTGATAACAACAACAACAAACCTCCAGGTGCTGAGGATGAGATGGAGGCTGCTGTGTTTTGGTGTTAAACCCGATTCATCCCCACGCACTGTCCGTGATGAATCCTCTGTTAGGAAGCGCATTTGGGATGGCAGAGAACAAGTGCGATCGGCTTGTTTTTAAGGTGTTGAAAACAGAGGCTGTGGGTGGCTTTACAAGGGTCGCGGTGTATAAAGGGGCTTTTCCGAAAATCCGTTTAGTCTCATAGCCTTTAGGGGTTAAAGTCTTGTCATGCACAGGACACTCATGGGCCTGATGTGATGTGAGGCCCGCTCGAGATGATCCAGAGTCAGAGTAACGACTCGTGACTCCCATTCATCTCCTGCTTTCTGGACCTGGAGCTGTGAGCCATTCAGCAGCAGCCCGTTCCCATTCATGAAGTCCATTACGCAGCACAACGATCCACTGTTGGCTTTAAATAGGCTCTCTGGGCCTGCAGTAGGCCTGTTTCTGGCCTGCTATTGACTTTCTCTCATGTATCTTTTTATAGTCTACATGAGACAGTCCGTTAATATGAAGCCTAATAAGAATGATTATAACAGAGTACAGGCCTGCTGTTATAGAGAACATCACATCACTCTTATATGATACTCCTGTCCTGCGTCTCTGGCACTATGTTGTAATAAATGTCTCATTATTTACCTTTGTTATAGAAATATGATAATTTGCTATAGCTGTGCGTTGTATTGTTTGATATATTTAAGCAGCGTCCCTCTAAGATCTAAATATACAATATATAATTCACATCAAGTTGAGTTTTTTAGACAGAATAATAAAAACACCTTACAATAAAATGCAATTTGATAAATGACCACAAAATGTATTCTAGAGGCCTTAAAATCACTGTGATATTCTGACTTTACTCCTCAGTATGATTTTATGACTTATTGGTTCAGGTTAGTATTGACTTCCCTCATTTTTGCCCTATATTGTCTTATATTTGAATATAACCTTTGATGTAAGCAACATCCCTCTAAAGCATTTGATTACATTTTAGATAGTTATTCAGAGCTGACCCCAGGTTTTATATCCTTCATAGCGTGGACAGAATAACAAGGAGATCCTATAATGCAATCCAATATAACATAACAATGTATGTAATAGGCCTTTACATCATATATTTTATTTTGATGGCATAACAGAAGGCAGAATATAAGTCAACAACACCTTTAATTATTGATTTATTAAAAAATGTGAAGTAATGTATCAAGCCTAGTGCGAGGCTTTGCTGGCTTTCCCTAACAAAACAAATATCTAATATGTTTGGAGATTAAACTGGACCCATAGCTTTTGAAGACGTAACCTCTTTTTATTCTCTCTCGCTCTATTTTTCATAAATATGCAACATTATACAGACCAAACAACAAATAACTAATTTGTATTAATACAGTTTGTTATTGGCTATGATTAGTATACAAAATCCAACACCAAGCACAAAGAGTTACGATGTCAGAAAGTGCAAAAAGCCATGTTGCGAGAACCAATCTCGATTATTTTCGGATCTTTTTTATACCAACTCCACTCTGCGTCCACAAATAAAAAAAAACATCTGTTTCAGTAAATGACACTTGATGCTCACACAGGTTGTGCACAGTTTTCCCTCTGCGAGAGGCCTGTGGTCATCTGTGAAATTAGTTAGAGCCGGTGGGTGAGAGACAGGAAATGGAAGTCGGTGACGGAATGTGCATCTCCCACGCGCTGCGTCCTTTATCACTGGCCGCCATATGGAGGCCTGAGCTCACTCAATATTTACATTGTCGCCGCTCGCCAGAGAAACCAGCAGAGAGGGCCTGCTGGTAGAGGACACGCTGATTAATGTATTTAATATCTGCGTGATGAGGCCATGCTACATATATTGGGAAGTGGTCGAAAACCCATCAGCCCACTGGAGAGATTGGGTCAGTTTGTTTTGTGTTCAAGCTTAGGAATCTCCATCCTCTCATCATGTCTGGTTTATTATCACTGGTCCACTCTGTCACACACACAGATAGCTTTAAGCAGCCACACGTATCAATGTCTGGACCAGTGTACTTTCATGATGGAGACAGTCTCCCCTCTGGTGGTCCTGTGTCGCATCAGGACTGATGCAAACTTTCCAGACAACATTAAGGTTGAATCAGGGAGGGGCGAGGTTATCAGGGGTTAGGTCGAAGGTCAGAGACCGGCTGCTCTTAAGTGGACGGATCAAAAAGAGGGGCTCTATCAGTGCTGACCCCTACGTCTGCTCTTCCTCCTGCTAGAACATCTGATCCCCATCAATCATCCACCCTCTCTATCTGAAATGTTCTCCCTTCTGGTTATAAAAAAATCATGTGGCTACATCTCTGCTTTTCCTTCCACTTCCCAAGGTGCTCCACAAAGTTTCTCTCTCTCTCTCTCTCTCTCTCTCGCGCTGTTTCACACACACCCACACTCACACACACACACCTGTCTACTGTAATATCCTCTCTTTTGACATCTTGAGTAGAGGCGCTTTTCTGTCAGGAGATGTCAAAAGAGAGGATATTACAGTAGACAGGTGTGTGTGTGTGTGTGTGTGTGTGTGGGTGTGTGTGTGAAACAGCGCGAGAGAGAGAGAGAGAGAGAGAGAGAGAGAGAGAGAGAAACTTTGTGGAGCACCTTGGGAAGTGNTTGATAATGAAAGTAATTATAATGTAAAGCCCAATTACCAACCTTTTTGCCTCAATCTTCAATGAACTATTATGTTCTTTAAAGAGTTTCCCATAAAAGGGAATATGCCAGCAAATCCTGTGAGATGTTTGAATGATTACTTATATCTAAAGGTTATCAAAATGATTTATTAATGAACCAATTCATCAGCTCTATTTATTATACATTCTTGACATTAATACTTGGATATGCATGCCTATACAAAGAAAACCAACATAAATACCATAGTTTTGTTTTCCTGTTTAACCTTCGTGTGTCTAATTATGTGTACATCTTATATAAGAAGAACATGTTGTTACTGGATTCACATAGCGTTGGAGATGTCCGCACAGATCTGTACTGTACTGAGTGTGCTGCTAGCTGTATGCTGTGCTTTGGAGCGGGCTAATCTTAGAAAACATCGCAGGGCCTAACCTCCCCGGGGCCGGAGCACAACATCACCAATCATCCTCAGAAGCCAATCACCGAAGGCATACTGCTGCCATGAAACTGCAGCATGTGTTTAGATATAACTCTGTTAAACTACATATATGTAGTGTTTATTCCCCTAAGTGCAGGGAGGTATGTGTACACACAGCTTTAAAAATACAAATCTGTGTACATCCGCTATGCTTGGCTACAGCATCACTTCCTCAGTAGCCACAGCACCGCAGTATTAATCAGGAGAATAGTTCAGTCCTGTGAGGCTCCTCAAACTACATAAAGTGAACGTATCTCGCCCGATGTGTTTTGCAGGCTGCATTTGATAGCTTCCCCCCACACAGTAATGTTTCTTCCGTCTCCTTCCTGGTCAGTTTACTGTTACAGACAGAACTCCCAAACATCTGACAGAGATATCAGCCCTGCTCCCCGGGGTAAAGAAGCAGCAGCAGCAGCAGCAGCAGCAGGAGGAGGAGGAAGAGGAGGGGGCACAGGAGTGGTAGATTTTTACAACAGATAGGGAAGAGAAACAGGAGCCTGAAGAATGGAGGTGAATATTGTAACGTTCCCCTTGACATCTCCAATCTTGTTTTATGGTATTTTAAGTCCATCAATGGTCTTAAATACAGAGGGGAGTCGTGGGGATATTAGACTGGACATGGTGCCTCTGCTCCCCCTCGTCCCTTTCTTTACGCTCCCCTTGTCTCCTCCACCTCCACACTCTCACTGATTGTTTTAGCAGCTGGCCTATGGCGCAAAAACAGGCCCCCCTCCAGTGGGGGAAAAATACTCATGTCCTTCACTTATGTCAAATCCATCAAAATCCTACTAACAAAATAATAATAATGACTTACACACCAATGACTTGTGAGTTGAGATGGACTTGAACATTTTAAAGTGAAAATACTTGATACTTTCGGGACTCAACTTGTGAGTTGACTTATAATCTAATTAACTAAACTTATATAGTGATGTCACACCTGCACTTTTTGTTTCTGCAGGTTTTAAACAAAACAAAGTATCCCAGAGTAACTAGTTCTGTGGTAAAATGTCCCCTGTGACACACACACACACACAAATAAATCATTTCTTAATTTTTTGAACTGTTAGATTGTGGCATTTTGCTGCTGTTGTTGATATGTATTTCAATATCTGTTTTTGAAATATGGAATTAGTTACTTTCCAGCACTGCCCTCTCCATAGACCCAGACATTATTTAGTTTATTCCATCTGCAGTATGTATTCTGCTTCAGCGTGCTGAGCCTCAGAAAACCTTAATGCTGTCCACTTCCTCCAGCGACTCAGGGCTTAGGTTTCATGCTGACTCTCTCTCTGTGTGTGTGTGTGTGTGTGTGTGTGTGTGTGTGTGTGTGTGTGTGTGTGTGTGTGTGTGTGTGTGTGTGTGTGTGTGTGTGTGTGTGTGTGTGTGTGTGTTGTTAGTTCAGTTTTCTAGAGAGACACATCCTCATCTTTGCGGAAGGACGGTAGTTTTGATAAATACACCTCACTGGGTTGTTGTTTTTCTGCTGAATGAGTGGAAAGAGGGCCCAGTGCAGGTTTTAAATAGCTGAATGGGTATTAACTTCCTCTCAGGCAACACACACACGCACGCACTTCACACTTTAGCTTTGGTGTGGCTTGGAGGAACAAAGAGATGGATGTCTGGAGTCATTGATTCATAAATGAAATGAAGCTGGAAAGTGATTTTAATTGTATCTCTGTACCACTTTCTCATAATTTTTTTTAGAATTAATCTTTTAATAACACATTTTGGGTAGCCAGGTTTTAAAATATCCTATTAGCTGATGTTTCTCTTTTCTTTTTGGTTATACATTAGTATAAAACAGATGTTAATAAGTTATCTGTACATGGATTATGGTCCAGACATCCTCTGCAGCTTTTCTACTTTTGGGAACCCAAATGTTAATTATTTTCAATGGTAAATTATTTATTCGCCATTAATTAAGTTTAACATCAGTTTAACAACTACATTTTCTAAATGTCGTATCTTTCTTTCTTCTTGAGTTATTTCTGTCACAAGATGTTATGAAAGCGCTCCTGACCCGGGACCATTGGCTGTGATTCCGCCTTGAAAACAAACCAAAACACAGTGCCAATCCAAACAGCTTCATTTGAGACCCCCGACCACCCACTTCTGCACACTAGTTGAACTTAAATTGAGCTAAATGACCACAGTTTGGCACATTTAGATTCCCCTGGGACATACACACAGATAAGGGAGACATTTACTTTGTTGGCTTATTATTCTGTAGTCCCACCCTATCCTTTTCTTTACTTTCGAGTGTCTCTATCCATCGTTCCTCTGAAATTCTGACACCAGGTGGCCACATCCAGGAGTTTCTCTCAAAGAGCTGACACTCCTGTTTACTTCCCCTCATCATTATCCTCTCTCTGATCTTGCATGATGTTGTTTCAGATCTGCAATAGATTTAAAGAAAAGGAACTGAAACAAAGATATTGGCTTGTAGTTAAAAGTGTGTGTCAGACTTAATTCCAGTACAGAGTTATTTTCACTAATCCTGAAACTAGGGCCCACATGGATGCTTTTTGAAAATCACAATAACGCTGCGTGCAGGAGTAATTCCAGGAACCACTGCAGTGCAAATGTATGCATGATTTGGTTTCAGAGTGCAGGAAGCAAACATTTGAGCGCATATTGTGAGCGAACTGCCAAGAGCAGCACGAGCAGCTCTGAGAATAAGCTCCCACAGCTTGAGGAGTGTTTGCCATCAACCGTGCGTATGTCACTGCCTGCCCACTCAGACAATATATTTTATCTCCGCGATTTACAGACAACAATAATCAAAGCAACATGTGGTTGATTGTGCAACGACATCCACAGATGCTGCATTAGTCACTGATGTGTTGAGGCACAGAAAGAGAGAGATGAGAGGGGTTAAAACTGGCCTTGGATGTTGCTACTGACACAATGGTGGTGAGCACAGAGAGAGAGAAGAGTGTTATCAGTGCTGTGATGTGGTGTGGCACTGATCTGCCAGAGAAGGCTGAGTCATACTCACACGCACGCACGCACGCACGCACACACGCACACACGCACACATGGTGGGGAGCAGAGGAATGTATGGATGATTTGGCGATAGTAACTTCAAAAAAAAAAAACTCAAAAAAACAGAGAGTGAGATGGAAAAGCAAAATGCGCTGTATGGTCAGTACGTGTTGAATCTGAGTTGCTGTCAACCTGCTCCGACAGAACTCAATTCAGACAATCCCAGTGCTTGTCCGAAACTATCAATTGGTAAGTGATGGAGACTCTAGCTTTCTGGATTCCTGTTCACTTCTTTTGAAAAGCGGATTTCCAACCTTCAATCACATCTTCAACTGTCCGAGACTCTGGACTCTGGATGCTGACAAACAGTGCTACTGAGGACAATGAGGTCATCAGAAATGTTTATAATGATCATAAAGACAAACATGCTGGTTCAGCAGTCTGCTTCATTCACACATCTTTTATTCTTTGCAGCATCACACATGCAGGCCGATCCACATGTGTGGTACGTCTGATCCAGAGCCAGGAGTTGCACACATACATACACACACACGCTGAAGTATTTCACTTGAATCCACACTGACTCTGCTCTTCTTCCTCCTCTGTAGCCTCTCCTCGTGGGTTGGCATGGCCCAGCGATGAACGGAGCGGTGGTGCCCGGTAGCCCGGAGCTCTCCTCCTCGTGCCCGCTGCCAGACTGGCGAGAGTTCTGTGAGCTCCATGCCAGAGCCTCTGCTGCAGACTTCGCCGACAAGTTCCAACGCTTCCTGTTGGAAAACCCGATCTACGACTCGCCTGGTGCCGATGCCAGCTTCTCACAGCACTTTGCCCACCACTTCCTGGAGTGCTTCTCTGCCGCACTGACCCAGGCCCGGGAGAACCAGGCGTCCTCGCCGGGAGAGGACGGCTCCAACACAGCGCCCAAGTACAGCATTGTTCCTTTCCTGGGAATCCAGGGCTGTCCGCTGTCCTATGGTCACGACATTTATCAGAGACGCAAGGACGCGGGGGCTTCAAGTGAATCCCTGGACAGCATGGACAGCGGAGGGGGAGGGATAGACGGGGCAGGCAGTGCCAGCGCCTCCCGAGGCCCCCAGTCCACCCACAAGGTGTCCGCTCTGGGACAGTCCCGCAGCTCAGAGGATGTGTCGGTCAGTCACCCAAAAGCTCGCTTCAAGAAAGGATTCTCCCTGAGGAACATGAGCCTGTGTGTGGTGGATGGGGTGAAGGAGATGTGGCACAGACGAGCCTCCCCTGAACCTGAAGGACCCTCTGTAGTTAGAAGGGCCAACGGGGGAGTAATGGGAGCAGCAGGAGGGGGAGTGGAGGCTGCGGGGGGAGAGAAGTGGTCCAATAAGCTGCGGCTTCCCAGAGGCTCCCAGGGCCACAAGGCTGAGATGCTGGAGATCCAGAGGGAGGGAGCGCTGAGGTTCATGGTGGCCGACGACACAAACTGTATGGGGGCTGCACAGTGGCAGAAGTGCCGCCTCCTGCTGAGGAAGACGAGGAGGGAGGAAGGAGGCGAGAAGTTCCTGCTGGAGTTCTACGTGCCACCCAAGGTACACAAACACATGCAGACATGAAAAACAATTAGGCAGAAAAACATGGATCATTAGATTAGATGTTTATTAGGGGATTTGTCCAAAGAAACATGTATAGTAAACCCTAAATAGTGATTGAAAAAAAAAAATATTTCATGAAAATAATTATGAGTTGTAGCCCTCCTTGAATCCCAGAAACAAATCCAGCTTGATCCAACCCTTCTGACCCCAAGTGAAGTGGAACCGCTCTCAGAAACTGTCACGTGGATTCATGCACACGCCGCTTTTTTCTTTATGGGATTTCCAGATCATTTCCCCTGACCTTAAGAAGGCCATGAGGCTGTGCAGCTGGGTGTGTGTGAATCTGCCACTGTCCTTTGATCATAGCTGGTGGGAATGTGGTGATAAGCCTGCTGAGAGGGGGAGAGGGGTAAGGACAGGTGGGAGGAAGCCGGGGTGAAGGAGATGGGGGAGTGACCAGAGACTGCCATAGACAGACAGACACAGAGAGAGAGAGAGAGAGCGAGAGGAAGCTCTTACATTGATTTCTGTGAAAGGGAAGCGGATAGAAAAGATTCCCCCTGCATGTGCAAAAAATAAATATTGATTGGTTCCTCATCTTAGCCTAACAGTCTACAGTGACAAACTGAAAATAGGGACGAATATAGTGAGCCATTAAAAAGCTCTGCCAAACTCAGAGAGGAAGCCACAAGGGGAACATGTAAAATGAAACTTAATAATTGTGCTTCAGCAGTTTCGTCTGTTATGTTCTATTAAAATTCACACATGGGACAATGATTATGAACTGAGATTAGGAGAAACTTCAGAGCGGTTACAGCTGAAGTGACACATTAATTAAACACACACATCTCCACAGGCCTGCCCTGCAGACTCTCTGACTTGTTTTATCACTGCCGTCTTATTCAGGTCTTACAAATCATAACAGTGCTGAGTCAACAGTGTCGGAAAGATAAACCGGCTCATAAAATCTCGCTGCTGGCCGACTGGCTGTGGCTCCATCCCTGTCAGTGCCATCAATCTGTGGCCGCCCGCTGTGGAGCACACTGCAGCACGCTAACTGTCTGCATTATGACACAGCAACAGGGACGACCCACTCTCTACACACCAGCCAGAGCAACATGCAATAACTAAAGGGTAAAAGTAGCTGCAGCACATCAAAAAGGACACATTTTTACTTGCCTTACATAAAAGCAATGTTTTTGCGACAGCACAAATTAAATAAAAACCCATTACTTTGGAAGTTCAGATAATCAAAGACAAAAAAAAATCACGAAGGTCGCTTGGTTTTTACTGAATGCTAAGTGCTCGTGCCATGAGCTAGTAGGCTAAAGCTTTTTTTTTCAGATTATAAAAAAACATTAAATGTCCACGACCACCCTGGCTTTATTGGAATGAATGGGACAATTTCTCTAAAGATGGTTTGAAGTCCCAACATTATACCAATTCAGAAAGAAATCATTTATATGCCCAAAATAAATCCAACAAAACTCTCCTGGCTCTCATGTGGTTTGAGTTGCTGCCTTCATTTCCTGTAAGGCTGTTACTGCTGTATGGTTGAGCACATGTTCAACGCTTAGACGCTTAATTTGGTTTGTACCATGTTCAACATTTGAACAGACGTTCACACTGAAAAAGGGTTTGTGCTATCTGCAGTAGAGACGTACAGGAAATGGTCAACAGGAAGTGATTTTTAACATCTGATCCAAATTGAGGAATGGTGGGTGTGGATGGCTGCCAGCTGCACAGCAGATCAAGAGGAGAGCCGTGTTGCTCCAGACAGATCAGCTGATAAAGCTCTGCCAGACCATCAGTCAGCCTCCTTCTCGCTCTGCCTCTCCTGACACACACACACACACACACACACACACACACACACACACACACACACACACACACACACACACACACACACACACACACACACACACACACACACTCATTGGATCTGTTGAGATTATGGCATGGGTCCAACTCTCCGCAGAGGGCAATCTGAGGCCAGGATGTTTTCTGTGTTAAGCCGCTTGTAAACTCTTATGTTTATTACGGTCACTCAGCAGGAATAATTGCTGAGAAACGCATAGAAAAATAAGAGACTGCATTAAATCTGAGTTGTTGAGTCGTTTTTGCAGATTGGGAAATCTTTTGTAAACTCTTCCCTTCTATTTTTAATGTTTGCCTATTTTCGTTAGAATTTTATCTCAGGAAACAGTTAATTGCTGCTAGGGTTGTACCGATGTTTCAGACTTCATGTTGCCCCTTAATTATCGCTTTAGAGTCAGGAGAAGTTGGGTGTGTTTCACACTAAACATAGAGGCTGCAGTGAAACTATTTTAACCTGTACCCCTAATTAAAAGCTTTGTAGAAAAATATAAAGTTTCTCCTTTACAAGTGACGCAGCTACCTCCTACAGGATGTAATGAAGGTTTTAATTTAACTTTGGACCGTCCTTAAATACTTATCTTGGTTTTGAAGGAAATACGCAGATGGAAATTACAGTATCACCCAGGGAGTAATGCATTTTCTTTTAGATTTGTTGCCACATAAACAACAACAACTTACTGTGATATGCAATCACAGGCAGTGCTTGTTTACTGTCTGATCTCTAAAGCAGTTGCTCCCAATCTATTTTGCTTATGAAACCTTTAAACATCTTTAAATGTTAATTTTATAAAAGTTTAAAGTTTTACATTTAAAATGTCATAACTAAATAAGCAACAGTCAAAGATACAGTAAGGCAGCATCAGATTTGAACATGCAGATTCAAAATTAAACATACCGTCGAACCCTATAGATCTTCCCTCTGGTTATTAACCATTAGAAAAAACATAAATGTTGGTTAAATGTAAACTTTTATATCCTTTGTGTGTCTGCATGTTAACTTCAGTCCTCAAAGCCCAAAGTCAGCATCCCTCTGTCGGCCATCGTGGAGGTGAGGACCACCATGCCTCTGGAGATGCCTGACAAGGACAACACTTTCGTCCTTAAGGTAAAACCCAAACCCAGTGCACCATCCAGAATATGACACTAAACATGTTGTTGGAAAAAGTGTTACCCCGTACCCTGGCTGAGTTAACATTGGATCTGTACCCTGATGTGGTCCTTTGAACAGAGCTCAGTGTGTGATCGTGTTTGGCTGCCTCAACAGGTGGAAAACGGGGGAGAGTACATCCTGGAAACCATAGACTCCCTGCAGAAAAACTCCTGGGTTGCTGACATCCAGGACTGCATAGACCCCGGGTAAGCCACCAGATAAATATTTGCTGTTGGCTGAAGATGGAGGGAAGACAGGAATGAAGGGTGGATGGGAGAGGGAAAACACACAGTCATTAATCATCAAATTAGTGGACTTTTTGACTGCTTGCTTTAGCACAAACATGGGGAAGCTCGCACCACTAACATTCCTCCTCAGTTTCCTGAGTTGGTTCAGGACGTAAACAAAAAGATTATTTGTGTTTGTAGGATGTGGATGAGTGTTGGGGTCGTGTATTAGAACACGTGTGTGCATGTGTTTATGTTCTTGCGGTTCTCCTGACCTGCCTGCTTGTGTACAGTGACAGCGGCGATGACATCGAGCTGGCATCCTGTCCTCATGGTCAAGCCTCCAAAGACTGCTCTATGGTGTCCTCCTGCAGCTGTGAGCTGCTCTCTGAGGGTGAGCAAATACTCTTTTCTGCAGCACATGTAACGATCCACGTACATTTGTTGTAAATATAATTAAAACATTTGCTTAGGTGTGTATCGAGCTCCGGAGAGGCCGTGTCCTACAGCAGCGGAGCATTACAGTGCCCCCTCGGTCCGTTGCAGGGAACCCCCCTTCACACAGCACCCGTCCCACATGCCTTTGGAGCGCTTCCTCCAGTCCCCGGAGGCTCAGAGCTCCAACTCTTCTGCAGGTAACACAGACACTCAATCCAAGCATAAGAATCCTTAGAAACAAACAGAAAAAGACAATACGTTGATTTGTTCTGACTCAGGTGGCAGTGAAGGAGCTAAAGAGTCGGACGGGGATGCCAGCCTGTCGAGTTACCCATGGTTCCACGGTACACTGTCCCGTGTGCGCGCGGCTCAGCTGGTGCTGGCAGGCGGGGCCAGGAGCCACGGGCTCTTTGTGATTCGTCAGAGCGAGACGAGGCCGGGGGAGTACGTCCTCACCTTCAACTTTCAGGGCAAAGCCAAGGTGAGACAACTATACAGCAGAGAAATGGCAATATGTAATATATTTGAGAAGAAAGAGGGGGATATAAATGTAGTTTATCAGGTTGAACAGTTTTGTACGGATATATATTCAATGTAGTTCAGAAAACACGAAAATCAAAAAGAAATGGCTTTGCTATGCTGCCTGAGTAAAAATGTCGTTCTTCATTTTGCTTCTTTTGTCTGACCTACAGTAAACAAATTGTTTTAAATGATATTAATTAAGAAGGAGGAATCTGACATTCTATCCAACAATTTTGTTGTTTTTTTGTCAAAACAAACCAAAAAATCAGTTATCCAAATTGTAATTGATGATTTTTATCTTATTGAAATAATGAAATAACATTCATCTCACCTCCCTGCTGCAGTTAAATTAACTCAATGCCTATGCTTGTGACATGTTGGGTTGCACCACAGCAGCTAGTAGCAGCCAGAGTTGTTCTGGCCCTGGAAAAGATGCAGTAATGTTTTGTGTTCTCTTATGTAATACTATCCCTGAACATCACATCCTGCCAGCCGGTAGTGTTGAGGAAGTGTCAGCTGCCGCCTCTTCCTCTGGTGTCAGCCTTGGCATTCGCTCTGTTCCCACAGCGAGACTCCTCAGATAATGACCTCTATCTGTTTCTCACACAGCACTTCTCTGTCTTTTTGTTGTCTCTTTTTTTACGCTTTTATTTACCATCTATCTCTCCCTCCTCCATACTTTCCCTCACTTGTTAACGTCCTGTCTTCCTCCTCTCTTCCAGCATTTGCGTTTGTCGGTGAATGAGAACGGGCAGTGCCATGTCCACCACTTGTGGTTCCACACCGTGTCGGACATGCTGAGACATTTCCACGCCCACCCCATCCCCCTTGAGTCCGGAGGCTCTGCTGACATCACACTACGCTCCTATGTGCAAGTGCAGCGAAGCTCTTCAACAGGTAAACAACACATAAACGAAAACTGCTCACACACCACCTCACACAAGCTTTGACTACAATGAACTGAAGAGGCCGTACATGTTGATTTGACCAATTATTCCATATATTCCTATTAAAAGCTTAAATAGTGGTATATTTTATATCAGGTTTGCTGGAAAGGTCAGTACATTCAGACCACTATAAGTGAAGGGCTCTGGACACACAATACAGGTGTTTTTAAATATTCTGGATGATGAGGCGTACTTTTACTCATTTCAGTACACTCAAGGGTTTTTGTTGCTACAGCCTCAATTGGTGTGGAAAGTGATTAGTCATTAACCATTTATGTTCCAATCAGTTTGAATACAACATATACAATTATTCTGAAATGGGCCATTGTACAGGATAAGTACTTCAAAAACGTTTTGATGCTAATAATTTTGTACTGCTACACAAGCCAACATCTTAATGAGGATATATATTTGCAATAGAGTTTTTTTTAAACAATCTGAATGATTTGTCCACCACTGTTAAAAAAAATGGTCATGTTGGAAATCATTTTCGTGGCTTCAAAAAAGTGTCTCAGATTGACAATCACTTCTCAAGATCAAAAGGATAATGGAGGAGGGTAAGACACTTCCAAAAAGTTAAGTGTGTTGATGAATAGCTGAGGATTGTCCCTTTAGCTGGAAGATTCAGAGTTAAACTCACTACACCAGCCCCCCCCCCCCCTCTCCTACTAGCCCTGCTCCTGCCCTCTGCTCTGTCCTACTAGCCCTGCTCCTGCCCTCTGCTCTGCTGGCATGGGATGAATGCCCTCCTGTACAGGAGAGTGAGGGGGCGATTATACCACAGGAGTTTTGCATGCAGGCCGAGTCTCCGGCCCCAACACACCCTGCTGGTCACAAAGAGGCCCTCTGTTTCCCCAACGCTGGACCCACACACTCATGCACTCCCTACCCTATACATACTTACATAGAGCGAGGGTTTGATTCAGGGCGTAAAAGACTTCACTGATACACTGGTCAGGCATGTCTTTGGCACCAGTGTGGTCGGTGTTATTGCCCACCAAGAGAAAGCATAATAAAGGAGGCCCACACTGCCTGTGTTTACATGCTCTATGAAGGAGCCTTAAGATGGCAGCTTTTCAGTATAAACCAACAATTATCAGCCGAATGGATTCATCTGTTATAATATATCTTATTGTGGCACTGTACTGCCTCTTCAAATTGATTTGATTTCAATTGAATTATATACGTATTTTTTCTCCCTCTGGCAACCTTCTACAGATGTGTCTCTCCCTCCCGTCCTGACCCCAACCAGGGAGACAGGCTGCCGGACTGATTCTGCCCACACTCCTCTCCACATTTCTGGGATCACAGCGCCTGCAGGGCCCCCTCCTGATGCCCCGCTCTCCTCGAGCACCTCCTCCTCACCCACCACCCTCCCCTCCCTCTCCCGCAGTGACCCGGGTACTGGAGGAGGGGTAGGAGGAGGGTTACAGAGCCGGAGCAACAGCTCTGAGCGCCTGCTGGAGGCCTCTAGCGGAGCGTCCGAGGACTACCACGACGCTGACGGGACCCGCAGGGCCCGGGCGGTGGAGAACCAGTACTCTTTTTACTAAACGACCCGGGGTGGGTTTAGTTATGTATCGGAGATGACATGGGGCGCTCTGCTGATGATGAAAACGTTCCATATCACTGGATCACCCATCGTTTTGTTTGTTTGTTTTAGTTTCAAGGCAATTTCCTGTGTCTCTGATTTAGGAAGGGTGGTGAGATTATGTTGAGCAGAAAGATGAGTGTAGGCGGAGAGAGCAATAGGAAGTCTTCAAGTGGAGTCATATGGCTTTGATTCATTTCTGCTGACCACTTCCTGTTCACCCTTACCCACAGTTCCCTGGGAGCAGAGCCTGTGTCACCCCCCTAGTGAAGGATTGAGGGTTTGCAATGACCCTGAAGAAACACCCCCTCCCCTCAGAGCCCCGAGAGCATCCTTTAATGTTTTTAAAGCTGCTTTGAGTCTATCCCGGATATCCTCACTGTCCCCGCAGGGTTTCCCTAGAAAGTCCTGCCCTGGGTCTCTGCAATCATGGGCGTGTTAGCGTTAGCTCGGACATGTTTTTCTTCAAACGTCTACAGCCTAAAGGGTCTTAGTGCCTGACAATTACCTTGGACTTGAATAGACTGTTGGTCATAGCGTTTGCCATCTCACATAAACTCAAAAACCCCAAAATGTTACGCTGGTAATTACAATATCTTCAGTTTCTGCTAAAACACACTGATCATGCATATCTCATCATAATGAATTGGCTTTGTTTCTCACAGTTTCATTAATGGCTGCAACACATACACACACACACAGGTGGTCATATGTTGTGTTACATATCACTTTAGAAACACTGAAATGGTACATGGACACATGTTCAGTTTGTATGAATACGGCCGGGTGGCTTACATTTTGCCGTCATACAGGGTTATTTGTATAAGAGTGTGTGATGGTGTATTAGAGCTCAAATATTTGTAATGATCGGTGTGCTGCAGTAGTGTTTCTAAAACATGGTTTTCGAGGTCCCTCCATCTGATGCTGGTTCTGTATTCAAGCTTATCATATCAATAACCTGTAGATTAGATATGCTGTTAATATAGGAGTTCACTTGAAGTAATGCCTTGAAGATATTATTATTATACCAAATCCAGCATTTATTGGACGGACCGGGGACTCGCTTTTTAGAGAGGCGGCAGTATTTGGTACTGTTAGTGCGGCCTGGTGTGGACAGGCAGTAAGTTAGGGGTAGTAGATGGCCATGTTTGAATGGGAAGATGTGATGTTGTTGCTTTACTTTTTGCTGACAGAGTGATGGGCTTGTTGAGTAATTAACTCGTAAGAAAAACACAACAAAATACTCATGTTACTGTAAAAATGTACATCACAGACATTCGCTACAACACAATATCAGTCCAAATACCTTCTTAAAGGACATGTTTGACATTTTGGAAATGCATTGCCCAGAGCTAAATAAGAAAATGGTTACCACTTTCATGTTCAGTGGAGTGGTATTAATCCTTTGATCCAACCCAGGGATGTACTTCCCACAATGTCAAACCTCTGGTGAGGCACACCTTACAAAATGAATAGAGAGCAGCCAGATTTCAGATACTGTACTTCACACATATGCAAACTTTTGTTCGGAAAGAATAAACATATCAAGAGTCAACATTGGGCTTTTCAAGCACGGCCATTTAGCTTCAATGGTGACGTTTAAATTTCAGTCGAGGAGAGAACGGAGCAGTTCATGTGCCAATTTGAATCCTATTTTTGAAACATATTTATTCCTCAGCTGTTGTAAATTACATTTTTCCTATCGAGTCTTATTTATGTACAATTGATTGATTCTTCTTGATGAAACATCCTCAGTGGAGCCCATCTCACAGATTGCTCATGCCTCCCTTTTATTTTCTTAACACTTCTTAAGCTACATTTTCTGTCGTCTGACTGAGTTTTGAAGAGTCTGTGCAATTTTGTACAAAGTGATGTACTTGACATACTACTTTATATTTCTGTGAATAAAATGTGAAGAAATGTTTTTCCTGCGGTTATTCAACACACGTCACCGACAGCATGACATACGGCTTAAACAAGTTGAAGAGTTTGGTGTTTCAAAAATAATCTGATCAAGTAGAGCTCTCTATAGAGATCATTTGTTTCACATGTATGTATTCTGTATTAACTGAGGTGTCAAACGTGAGGTTGCGTGGTTTTCATTTGTTTCAGTTTATATTATTAAATGAAACCGAGTCAGCCTATCTTCCATATTCAGGCCCTAACGCTACCACACATTTTTATTATGAGATCTAGTGCAGCAGTATCATAGTTCAAAGGGTTTGACTTGTTTGACCACTACACTCAGTTTAAACACTGACAACTTGAAAGAATTCTTTACCTACAAAATGTCCATTTGATTCTTAATGACTCAACCCATGTAACCTTGAATTCTTGAAGAAAACATGTATCTTTCATGCAAGTAATGAATTTAAGTTTTGGGCCATTTAACAACGGCAACACTGCATCAAAACTCTCACACAACTTGTAAAGTATAATCCAAGTCTCAATTTCATTCACAGTTCCTTCAAAATACATTTAACAAAACATGTGTATTTTTGCTTGAATCTTCTATTTAAAAGAGGCATGCCTGCACAAACTTCAGACTGTCTATGCAGAATTGTCTTAAATAGTAAGGGAAATACTGAGAATACAACCAGATAAATGAGACATTAAATTAACTACTTTCTATTACATATACACAAGTTATGGGAGTGAAAATATTTGGATATAGTTTTACTGTTGTGAAAGTTCAGCCCCATATACTTTCATTCAAGACAAGTCTTTTTTAATTATTCGTTCACTATAGGCATAAGGAAAAAAATAATTCTCCTAGAATTCAAGGTAATAAGTAACTCACAAATATTCCTTCTGTTGGCGAAGTATTCCTTTAATCCCAGAAATGAAGCATGTTGGAAGTTTCTACTGGGAAGCATCTTCAAGGAAATAAACTGATGTATTATCAACAATAATCTCTCAGCAGACTTCCATACCATAAATGAGTATCGTCCATTACAGACTTTAAACACAGAGGCCTCCATCTGAAGCCTATGATGATTTGGATGTGCTCAGGCGCCCTCTAGAGGTCAGATCTTATAGAATTGCAGAAAAAACACACGCAAAGCATTCTGGGTAATCACCAACTATGATCTTCATTGATAAATAAAACTTATTTAAGAAATGTGAATCAAACTGTTGTAAGAGAGTTGGTTTATACAGTTAACCCTATTAAAAATAAACAATTTAACATCATATACAGTAGATCGATACACTCTCAAAAACCTGGAAGGTGTATACATGTGTATTCTTTTTCTAATAATCTTACATTTGCACACTTCAAAGTGATTTCCTGAATTACAGATGCAGTGTGTAAGGAAAGGCAAAGGCATTGTGCACGTTCCAGCCTCAGACATTCAATGTTCACATCCTTGCGCAGCATGTGGGTGAAAGGACTTAAATGAGAGCTGCCAATAAGGGTGGCTTGGCTTCAGACTTGTCCCTATGGAAATGAAATAAATAAGTGCAGACACAGAAACTTCACACCTGGTGGTACAGATGTTGATGGCACAAAAACTAAACCTCCATAACAGTCTACATCAGCTTCTTGGGATAAGGAGAGTGACCATTTGACAAGATTGTAATGATGTCTCTGAAACCATAGGTTCAAATAAATCAACGGTGAGAAAGCCATTAAGAGTGAAATATAATATTAACTGTACATACGATTTTTAAATGTTCTCTCTCTTGACGTTTCTGATTTATGATCATTCAGCACCCACTTTTTAGGTAAGTGTTTTGCAGTTTTTGTTTCTGCTCGTTTTTACAGTCTTAAAGTGAATGAATGAGGAAAAGTAATATGCTCAGTTGCTGTTTTGAAACAATCAGCTAATGACCAATCTTTGGCCTCTAACCAGTGATTCAGCCTTTGTTTGCTCATTAAAACACAAAAAATAAAATCATCTTCAACTGTCAAAAACAGTGCAACACTTGCAAAACACTCTGAGGTAGCACTCTCTCTCTCCCCCTCTTTCTCCTCCCTGAGAGTTGTAACATGCAACCCCAGAGAGGCACCCGCCAAGGTGCTGCATCTATTTCAGGATATGCTGAGATTCACAAAGAGAGCGCCTGCCATGGTCATCAGCACTATCATAGTCAAGTCCAACTTTCTTCCCTCCTTCCACTTGTTGAGGTTCTCCTTCTCCTGCTCCAGCAGGCGCTGCTTCCTGGCTCTCATGTCCTTCTCCCTCTGCAGCTGCTCCCCATAGTGAGCCTGATAAAAAGCATCGAAATCAAACATGGTCTTCTTCCCAGTTTGGGAGAACTGCCTGGTTCTGTAGTGTTGCTGATGTGGGGGGGCTGATGATTTGCTCATGGTCTCTTTAGAGGAAGGTCTCCCTGCACTGTGAACATCTGACCTGCTGAGGATCCCATGGTCATACTTCCTCCTGAGGCCAATGTTTCCCAGCACTGTGTAGGCCTTGCTTATATCAGAGAAGCGCTGCGTGGCCTCATCGTTCCCTGGGTTCTTGTCAGGGTGGAAAAGAAAAGACTGCTTGTAGTAGGCTGTCTTGATCTGGGACTGTGTGGCACCAGGGGACACTCTGAGAATGTCGTAATAAGTCGTCCTTGCTCTGTTCATAGTCGGAGCCTCCTCTGAGCTGCGGTCACTCCTCCAGCTGTAGCTTCTGGTAGATACCTGCATGGTATTAGGATGGGCTTTCAGACGGCTCCACCTGTCTGACCCCTGCCCTGACCTGAAGGTGTCAGGGTGGATGAAAACAGCTCCTCTGCTCCAGGATGTCATCCTGCCGGGCAGCAGTCTCTCCTGCTGCCTCGCTGAAAGGTACAGGGATGTTGTGTGAGTGTTAAGTCTCTCTCTGATACACCAGGATGAATCCAGCTCCAAATACCAGACACAGCGCAAAGTCCCATTTGTCTGTGGACTTTCACTTGTTGTCACTCCGGAAAGTTTCTCTGGTTTGAGTCGTGTTGCTTTGCTTCTTGTCACTGGCTGAACTTCAAGATGTTGGTCCCGGGTTGACTGCTCTCTACACCGGCTGTCACTGAGGGAGTTGACTAGCAGAGGACCGGGACTCTCTCCGGTGCACACCGACCAACTCTGGCTGTTTCTGAGGGCGGACAGCCGGTAAGCCCCGGTCCCCAGTCTATGACCGACCTCTGCCATTTTACCGAGAACGGAACAGTGAGCTGGCCGGAAAAAAACATGCAGCATCCGGAACGTCAAATGACGAGGAGCCAATCAGAGTCAATGTTTACAGGAAGTACTTTCATAGTCGGCCAATCATTTCGCAGAAAACGGCTCCATAACTTTTAGCCTACTGATATATAACCTTCCATAACAGGTCTGGTATTGCACTAATAATAATAATAATAATAATAATAATAATTGTATAAACTAAATAAAAAAATTACTGAAAGGGGCAATTCAGCACAATGAGTTATTTAGGATTAGTATATCCTTTTAGTACTTTAGGCATACTTGATTGGTTAGATCAGATGACCTAAGATTTTCATCGTCATAACTACAATGTAGCTATATTCGTATGACAAAATAAAAAACCTTGAACCTTGAACCTATACTTTTCCTTAGGTAACATTTTGTTTGAAAGACTTTTACTTGTAGTATTTTTACATTTTCGTATTTTATTTTAAATAAAATACTTCATCCACCACTGCAAACGATACACTGGCAAAAATATATATAGTAGATATTTAACAAGTTCAAAATGTACCTACCTGTTTGACCAGTAGATGGCGTCTGATTTTAAACTGCTTTTAATACATTTAACGAAGAAGTACTTCTTACGTCGCTTGAATGTGATGTCATTGTTTTTCACGTGTGGACCGTAGGCTATCACAACACTTAGCTTGTTGATGAACAGATATTACAAGTTAACTCTTCATCTTTAGATACAAACACAGACACAAGGAGAGTCATGACCTCCAACTGCCGGCGGCCTGAACACACAGCCCCTCCCGATCTGGTCAGTAACCCGGATTATTGTAGTTTTCAGATGCTAAGCTAACAGCAGCAGTTTGGTTCTTTAAAGGGAACCCTTGGTATAATAATATAACACTATGAGCGTTTTAATAGGGCACGTGATGTTGGCTTGATGATTGGCTAACTATTGAGTAGTTAAGTTATTGTTGTAATGGTGTAATTAACTGTAGTTTAGTAGTTTTTGATCAACGTTTTGTGTCCTGTCTTGTGAATTGAAGTCGTTTGTAATTGCTAGATATAGAGAACATAGTTAAAAGGTATTTTGGTAAAACCAAAAGTTACGAACATGCTTCGGCCTACATTAAAAAAGCACGATGTTCTCACTGATTCTAACGTTATAGCTTAATGATCACGTCACAGGCTGAATAGGTGAAAACAGGAAACTTCCTCTGGTCTTTGCTGCAGGTTAATAAACATCTAGGAGGACACCAGGTTGTGTGAATTTAGTGAGTCAGGAAGAGTCAAGAATGAAACTCATTTTTTGAATTGTCTTTATTACACTGAATTCATTCTTTGATTCTTAAATGTCTGTTCACATTCTAGAAATGTGTTGTTGCAGTGACTGACAGGTTATTTGTAGTTTTATGTTACTACTTAGGTCTCATTTTGTAAGCGAAAGTGTCTCATAAGTCTAAATAATATAAAAATGACATAATGTAATGAAGATACACAAGACACACATTTAGATGTCTGCTGCTGACAGATGTTTTGAACAGTTGTATTTAATTGAAATGTTAATGATGTGCTCTTATCCCCACAGTTCTACAATGAAGTTGAGGCAAAGAAATACTCTCAGAAGTGAGTCTGATGAAATGTGTGCATAACTTCCTTTATCTGTGGTCCCTATGTTCTCAGGACCCCATCCTATTCTATAAGTAAATATGTTTTTTTCTATAATATGAGCAGCCCAGGTGTATTTTGTAAATAGAAATCATTCAAAAAGACAAATAATAGTTTGGGCAGCAGATACATTCAAGAGATGCTTCATAGAAAGAAAAATAATAATGGAGCAGGGTGGTTAAATCTCAAACCATGAACGTTTTACTGGGATACGGACACTGCTAAAAGCCCCACACTAACCTAAAGCTAGTTTGGATTAAAATGTTTTTTTTTTTTATCACAACATCACACAATTAGCAAGTTAGGGAGGCGATTGTCTGTGTTTTTAGTGTATACATTCACTTAACTATTTAAAGGTGTATGTATACAAATATGTACAATTTAAGGATGGATATTCCCTTCCAAAAGAACATCAGACAGGGAATATTTTTTTGTTCTGTGTTGAGACCTAGCTTAAAATCTATTGAACCCAATATCATTTATGATGGCACTTAGACACATTTAATGTTCACCTTCATTGTTTAAAAAGGGCCAGAAGTCACATATTAACCGTTGCTCAAAACTCTGTGTTTTGTTGCGTCACAGCTCTCGAATGATTGAGATCCAAACCCAGATGTCCGAGAGAGCTGTGGAGCTTTTGAACCTTCCCGAAGGACAGCCATGCTTCCTGTTAGATGTGGGGTGAGTGACACTGACTTTGTTTGTTTGTTTGTTTGGCTAGTTAACAGCACTGCAATAGTCTCGCAGTGTTTGAGAATTACCTCACCTTTTTTTTTATTTTGTAATGTCCAGAATACACTTATTATGTGAGATTGGGATTTTAAAGACTTGTCTCTCTGTCTTTTGTCTCAGGTGCGGCTCTGGTCTCAGTGGAGACTTCCTGTCGGAGGAGGGACACTACTGGGTCGGAGTCGACATCAGCACTGCAATGCTTGGTAAGTTTAAACTATCACCTTCAACAAGAAGCAACAGAAGCATGGGCTGGATTATGAACCGGTTTAATATTGATATTAAATAAACCTTCATCTCATCTTTCAATAGACCTAAAACAATAAGTGTGTCTTCTTTTAAGTTCAGTGTTTTGCATGTTACACAAGATACATCAGAGGTTTCAGTTTTAAGCCTCTAAGCGACATTTAAGGAGATGTCGGCACATTTCTAAAACCTTGATCAAACCCTGTCTTTCCTGTAACAGATGTTGCACTGGACAGAGAAGTAGAGGGAGACCTTTTAGTGGGGGACATGGGCCACGGGATGCCGTTCAGACCTGGGACATTTGACGGTTGCATCAGGTGAATAACAAAGCATGACTTTTGAAAAAAAAGAAAAGAAGGTATCCTATTTCATTTTTAATAATTTCTGACTCTGTTTTTCATTTAACGTTTGAATTATTCCACGTCAGTATCTCTGCTCTGCAGTGGCTCTGTAATGCCGACAAGAGGTCACATAGTCCTCCGAAGAGACTCTACACCTTCTTTAGTACTCTCTACTCTTCTCTGGTAAGGTTTTTATACAAACTTCCAGATACCATATTTCAAAATGGAGACAGTTCCTCTTATTGTTCTTTGTCTTTCAGTCAAGAGGCTCACGTGCCATTTTCCAGCTTTATCCAGAGAACTCAGAACAGGTGAAATAATGTAGTGCATAGTTGATATGAAATATGGTGTTTTTTCCGGGTTCATTTTCTTACCATCAGTCTTCTTCCCTCTCTAAAGCTTGAGCTGATCACGACGCAGGCCATGAGGGCAGGTTTTGGTGGAGGTATGGTGGTGGACTACCCCAACAGCAGCAAAGCCAAAAAGTCAGTACCTTTCAGAAACTAGGCTTTTATTTTTGATATATTTAGCTGCAGCCCTCTTTGAGTGATTCCCTCTTAATGTCCTGTGAAATTAGCAGCAGTGTAATTGCAACAAAAGGCTAATTAGAACATATTGAATGAACTGTTTGTCACATTAGCCTCTTAATAAATGATCACACATTAATACGGTTGGCCTGATTTACTCCTTCACTTACACACACATTTATTTTGTTTCCAGGTTCTTCTTGTGTCTGTTTGCTGGAGTTACCGGTTCTCTTCCCAAAGTAAGAAACAAAATATTTAGTGGGTTTCGGGGCATCTGTGTTTCATTATAGCTACATCATTATAATTGTTATCTTTTTGTTGGTCTTTTCAGGGATTGGGAACAGAAACGTCAGACAGAGCTGTATCAAACCAGGTCCAGTATTCAGGACAAAGGTAAAGATATTTAGACAAATACTGATTATTGTAAGAGTTTGAGGAAACTGTTATCTTGGTTGAAAGGAGCCGAGTTTGTTTGACAGTGTTTAACAAGATTTATTTTGTAGTAAATGTAATAAAAAAGATGCAGAGTGATGAGATGCACCCTGAGCATCAAATTAATATTGTGAAACTAGTGTGTTACTTACTACTGGAAATGTGCATCTAAGGCCTTTTTTACTACCAAAACATTTTGTGAATTTCACACCTATACATTTTAATGAATTGTTTGCAAACTGATTACTTAATTTGCTGATTTTTTTTAATCTTTTTTGAGAGTTTTTGGAAAATCCCGGCCCATTTTTTGGAATGAGAATATTTGCTGGACAGAGCAAGTCATTTATAATCGGGCTCCTAGAAATTGTGATCAACATTTTAAATGTAATCAATGAATAAAAAATGTTTTAGTGGCAGCACCACTTTCTTTATTGATTTGTTTTACAGCCTTGTAAAAAAAGGTCTTGGCCCTGATAAATGCAGGTTGAGTCATACCTGCTTTAAAGAGTCCTAAAGACCGAGAGAAATCTCCAAAGGGTTGTCGTCCTGCCTCACTTAAAACCTGTCAGGCAGCTTTTCCTCCCTTTTACATGGTGATGTTGAAGTTGCTCCTATTGATTAAATCAAGATAATTGATGGAAAAACATTTAGCATAAGATCTGAGGAGTTTTGGACGTGGTTTACCACAAAGGCCACGGTGCAATTTAAATAAGCTAATCATCCACACTTTGTCTTTGTGAAGATGTCGTTTTAAAGGCATGAAGGGGAAATCAGCGAAGAAGGGACGCGATTGGATTTTGGAGAAAAAGGAGAGGAGGAGAAGGCAGGGACGGTATGTACTCTGTATGTGGTATAAACTCTTTCAGGACAAATAATTTTATCTTGTGCTGAAATATTCAGGCTCTAAATAATGTTATATCATTAGGTTAACTTAACTGAATCCCTGATTGGCTGTAATCTGTAACATTGCTGACGCCTTCTCTCTCTGCTTTGTGTTTGATTTTCAGGGAGGTTCGAGCCGACACAAAGTACACTGCACGTCAGAGAAAACCTAATTTCTAGCTCTGACTCATGCAGCTGTGCCTTCATTAGCTCTCGCCTGTACCACCCTGAACACAATCACCATTCAAACTGCAAAGTGTTTGGACGTAATTGTACCCACTCTTTAAAACAGGTGGATAAGATAAGAAGTAAAATGCTATTATGGCTGATCCATTTTACATCTGGTTGAGTGTATAGCAATTTTTCTCACAAATGTTTGTCAAGATTGCACTCTCCATGTTCTGGTTGGCTGGACATGGACAGACATCTGTAAAATCTTGCAGAGGAGAAAGATTTAGCTTTGACGGCAACAATAATCTCATAGAATTAAAACAATTATCATAAATTATCAAATGTCACATTTTCGATATCTGTTTATTAAAAACCTATTAAAGATATTTGTATTATACTCACTTTTATTCTCCTGAATATAGAATCAATTTAACTGTTAGTTAAATCCCTCCTTTTCGTAATCCTGTGTCACAAAAAACACTCTTTTATGGAGATATGAGATGTAGAAAATGACAATACACTTGAAAGTTGTCCTATAATAAACTGACAGCTCATTATATTATGAGGAAGGTTACAAAAAGGAGAACGTCTCGATGCCCAAAACAGTTTTGCTCATAATGGGGAAATGGAACCAAACAAAGTAAACACATTGCTGCTGCAACTACTATTACTTACGTTTTTGTTATGGTTTATATAAACTTTATTGTATAAAATAATAGAAAAATGTCGACAATTGATATGGTAGCCTACTTATGTTGGGTATGAAGGAAGAAAACAAAATATACTATAGTTATGGATACACTGAAAAATCCTAGCTAGATATATGATGGTATCTTAGAAATGACTTTATTACATAGTAGTAAAAGCAATTCTAAGAAACATTTCAAAGTCGGTAAGTAGGCTTTTATGTAAACAAATATTTAAATGTTGAGGCCTTTCGCTGTTTCCATATGTGTGCCTCACATAAGGCCAACAGAGGTCGCTGTGAGCTTTGGCACGAGGGAAGCCATCCACCTGGGCGTTATCTCTGAACCTGCTCAATAGATAATCAAACCCAACACAGATCCACCAGACTCTCTGAGAAGGCGGTCATTTACTGTCAGTCGTGCTTTCAATATGTTGGATTGACTTTAACGGTAACAAATCAACTTAAAGCGGGGAATTATTTAAAAAGACAGACCAATTAGTGCGGTTTATGGAGGAAGTTCAGGGTGTGTAATGGGTTAACGTCGGCAGGCCTCTCCTCACCTTTAGTGCGCGTCACCCGGCTCCGTAAAGTGGTCCCACCATCCGCACCGAAGGGGCGAAACACCGCCGCCAGACGCGCACCTCTCCTCGGTCTGACTCGCATCATCCTGCCGGTCTCCACCCCGGTGCTCCATCACCGCACGCGAACCACAAAACACCGGGAACTGAAGGAATAAGTGTGATTTACCGCAAACATGAAGGACCGCATGCAAGAACTTAAACATGTAAGTTACTGTTTGATTCTTTTAAACGACCACTATCCACCTGCTCGTGGAGTAGGCTAGATGGTTTATAAAGACGCTTCTAGATGATGTAAAAGCGTCTTCTGACGGAACAGAGCTGTGTGCGCTCACTGAGCAACAGTTGTGACGCTCAGGGGTCTGATGGAGGCTGAAATGTGGGTTTTATAACAGGCAACAGACCCTTATTACTCCTGTATGGGTAAAACGGATGAATGATGTGTGATTTTTAATCCAATTAAAAGTAATTTCCTCCTCAATCTCGAACAAAAAAATCGCTGTGATCTGCCTGCCTAAATTCTTTAAGCAATTTGTATGCTATTTCATATCTGGGACTCAAAAGGGAGATTAAAGCATAGACATTCCTTTTAATTAATAGTGTTTAATCAATATGTGGTCTTTCATTCAATATGCAATGTTCAGTGTCAGCATTGTGTGCAATCTATTTAGAATCAATTAGCTATTCAGAAACAGTTGAATTGTTAATTGTGTGCCCTGTGAGGAAATATATTATAGTGCATTAATAATTGTTCTGTGTGTGCGGTTTGATCGATATGTCCAGCCATGGGTGCGTGATTTGAAAAAGGAAATTGTTCCCAGCTCGCCCATTTCACCTAAATGTCAGCCCTCTGCGCGTCACAGGCGCTCTCATCAAAAACCTTTTACCCCCCCCCCCACACCGAGCACAATGTGTTGTCCTTTCTGACATTACTATTGATAAAAGAGATGGGGGTTTCATTGTGAAATATACTTTTACTATCTAATCTCCGCAATTCTACCCTCATCATCTCCAACATATTCTTCCTCGTGAAAATCGTGTGCGTGTGTTTTAAAGTGACCACTGTCAGATCTATTTATGTAATTGGCAGTTACCCTGGGGAGTCAGTCGGGCAAACAATTTACGACTTCTCAGTTTTTAGTGAAGATCTAGCAATGAATTGGCCTCGAGGGAGACAACAATCATTTGTGTGATGTGCTGTGCAGGGTCGGTTTGTGCGTGTGTGTGTGACTCAACAGCTTCACTGAGAAATCAGGATCAACTGAAATGTAATACCGGTTGCTGATCATATTTTATTTTTTATCATATCATTCATGTCTGAGAATTGGCAGCTGGAGCAGGCCCAGCCAGACCAATTTCATCAAATACAGGCCAAATAAAATTGAAGTGAATTGCATGTCACAGACCGTTATTTCCCACCAGCACTAGGTTGATATTGTTTCCCATTTGCAGTTACTTGACTCTCATGCAGATGTCTCAGTGTGTCAGGACAGCACATTACAACAGCACAGTGTCAGATTCATGGGATTGTATTTAAATGGCTGCCTACTGCCTAGGGCTGCAATTAATCATTATTTCAATATATATTAATGGGCTATACAGCTCCCAAAACCTGAGCCTGCTAAGTCTAAGTTTATCTATTTGCTCATTGCAGATTTACAGTTCTGTTCTTCACTGAGACTTCATATTTAACCCTTCGCTTCCACCTACCCTTGCTGGATTGTCACTGGACTTTGTATCAGATTTTCAAACTGGAAGACGTGTGGCTTTTCTCGAAATATTTTTCATTAAATCAATGAAGAAATGAACATGCATAAATATATTCATTAAGAACACATTTGTGTTGCAGCCTTGTGCTTCATTCATCAATAGTTATTATAGCTTTAATACCTGGAGACTGGAGATCATGTAAGCCAGTGTTGGGTTATTTAAACTGAGTCTACGTCTACAATTTGCCACTTCTGAGAGTGGTAGTGAAAACAACTGATAATGCACTACAATTGTTTCTGCACTAATCAACTGTGGTTGTTTTGGGGGGATAAACACAAAATGATGTTTGCTACCCTCCATACACGTCTTCAGCTGTGTACACCTAAATGTGGCCTTTTATCACAAGACACCCCCATCCGAGAATGGTCACAGGTGATAGTGCCTGCATGTTTGTCTTATGGTTAGTCTCTAGTGGGTCAACTGGCAGCCCAAACCTCATCTCTTCTATTCAGCTGCAGACAGTGATTGCTCTTTTCGGTCTCATTGGCGAATTCTTTGAAGGCCCCTCTTTGGGCCTGGCCTCTGACTCCTACTTCCCTCAGGAGCTGTGCAGTTGAACAGGTTACAAAACCCCTGCATACCAACTCAACTGGACACACTTTTATATTCCTGCCTCGAGTACCATCTGCCTAATGACGAAGACACACCAGCAGGAGTGGCAGCAGAGGTCAAGGTCTGGCATTTCCCAGTCTTTAACTGCGTTTAGATGGCATGAGCTGAGAGACAACTTCTTAGCCCTCCGTTTCTCTTCTTCCTGGATGTTGGATGGTAGGTGTGGTCTGGACATTGTAGCCATGGTGGTTAGTCTCTTGCCCTCAAGTTTAGCTATTAGACACCTTAGTTCTTTGTTTTCTTGCCACGTACATCACACTTGTGCTAGGCTCGTTACCGATGTGTTTTAAAGGGCAGTGTGACTTACTGAATGTGATGGTGGAAGTATTGACTTTTATTAGGAAAGTGATTCAATTAAACTGCTTAAACTCTCTCTTATTCTGGAAGGTGACATCTGGCCAATATCAGTGCTGTTACTGAATGGATTTATTTTATTTTCATTTGTTACATTTGGATTGTGTACTGTTTTCTCCATTTCATTTGGTTTGTCGAGTTTGAAAATGTTTTTTTTTGTAAGAGTTGCTTAAATGGTTGTAATAATCAGTAATTTCAGAAAACATATTACAAAGATATCACATCATTTTCACATAAAACCAAGATAACTGAGCTTTACAGATTGCGTAGCTTCTGTGTCTTTGTTTTGAAGAGTCACACTGCTAGTTGAATCACCCTTTTTATGTGTCATTTTGGCAGGAAATTGAGTTTTGTTCATATTTGCGTGGTGGAGGTTCTGCCTCAACATTGTCCATATGCATATAAAGCTACTTTATGAGCTCAGCACGTGCCTATGACTCTGCTCTTCCAGAAGCTCATTAGATTGCTGCCTAAAAACTGTCAGTTTCAATAACTAAAAGGCTCATGCAGCCTCTCCTTACCTCGTCCCATCATTCCCAGTCGGCCAAACTTGATTTAGTGACAGATGGCGCAGATGAGAGGTTTTTCTCAGTAGTCTTCAAGCTCTGGAACCTAAGGTTGATATCTGGTGAAAAGGTTATTGCAGATTTCACAAACATCAGGAACTGTTATCAATCAAATGTGATTGCTTGATTCCTGACGTTTTATCAGCTCTGTCTCTTTCTTCTTCTTCCGTCTTGCCGTTTGATTGACCGTATCTGCCTCTTTATCCATCTCAATCTCTTCTTAATAATAACCTGCTCCTTTCTTTCATCCTCTCGGTAATGCTGAGTTTCTCCGTTATTGCTCTTTGCTCTCGTCCTATCCGCAGTTTATCAGATGGCTGCCCAACACCCTTTTCTCTACTTTCTCCCTTCTGTCTGCTCCGTGCAGCCTTGCTATGCAGTGTATTGGACTAGGCAGCTCGTATGGCGGGGTTCTCACTGTCTTTGCCTGTTTGGCATTAGCGTGACAAATCAACTAATAGGATGGATGTGAAGCCCGACTGAGATATTCTGTGTCTTTTACACTTTCATTTCAATATACTATCCCCTATCTTTTCTCTTCCACTTGTTTCCATGTCCTCACCTTTTTCTTCTGTCCTTGACCTGTGTTGACACTTTGTAAGTGACGCAAACAGGGAGAGAAAGAAAAAGCCATGCTGCTGACTGCTGTTGAATTGCACACTGTAGAGGGTCAAAGGTTTTATTTATCCTCATTGAAGATTCAAGCCTCTGCAAACAGTTCAGAAACCAGCAACAATCTGGTTGTGCTCCACAGCTGGGCTTTTATCCTTTAAATCAGACACAGAGAGAGTGAAACGGCAATGCACTGTCACCATCCTACATTATCGTTATTAGTCGTGAGAAAGGCACAAGCATACGCATGTTATTCATCAATGCATAGAGGCTGCATAATAGCAATAATGAGCTGTGAAAGGAGTGTGACTGACACCTATCTGTTGGCTGCTAATGGCTATTTTTTAAATGTGTGAATGGTAGACCCACTTAATCATCCTGAACTAGGCTATTCTTATAAAGTAAGGCCTGACATGAGGGCTTGTGTTAATGGACGTTTCTTGAGCTGACTTTTACCTTTTTTCTGAAAATCAATGGGTCATTGTTTCTTTTTCTCATAAAGACTAGCTGCTCCCTTGGCATTAGCTAATGGATATCCTGATAATAAATAAAGACCTTTCTGTTATCAAACTGTATCCGTCTGCTTGAGATTAGCTTTAAGTCCTCTTTGATACTGCTTCTAAAATGTAAATTATAATTTGCAGTCCTCCCCTTTCACATCATTGTATAATCGATGACATCAGAGTAGTTCTTCAGATAACGTCTTTTATCACAGATACTCGTCGGAGATTAAGGCTAAGAAGCCCTAAGTAGCTTTGTTTGACTTTCATAGGTGGTAATCTTTTATAATGATTATATATACAGTATATATATATATATATATATATATATAGTATGTGTATATATATATATATATATATATATACTTGCTAATGTGAGGCTGAACAGGGACTTTTAACTAATCACGCAATAAAATACATTATTCACCATGGTCCCCACCTTCCACAAAATGACATATATATTAGCATTTACCAATCTGGTGGCTTGATTGACAGAAAAATGTTTTTTTTGGGTTCAAATATCCGCTTGCAATAGGTTTTTGACCTCTTGGGGGCAGCGAAAGCCGTGAACAACAAACTGACATATTATCACGTTTGAAGTTCGTTAGACAAGCTAATTCTTATTTACACTTCTAGCAGATACAGGGAATATTATCATATATTTGGAGTTACATATGAATTCACCTTTTTAAGCTACATGCTTCACTAAGTTCTCCTGCTCACTGTGTTTCTCGGCTGTTTGGGGCGGAGCAGCTAGCACATGTTGGCCTTTTACAGGTTTTCCAATGAAAA